GTTAAAACTAACATCAGATTCAGTTTTCTCGTGCCAAAAAACCACCTATAAAACCACCTGTCTATTTAAATAGACACCACAACACAAACAGAGACGAAGGGTCTCACTCATCGTCTCATTTCAAGATTGTTCACTAAGCATACATATCATTACTTACATTCTTACTCTGACTCTAAATACAATCCTACAGTGTGCACAACCTTTAAATTTCTCATTTCTAATATTTCACCAAAATAATTCACCGGCTCTCGCCTCTTTAGTTAAAATTCCACAGCCGATGATGACGCATTGAGCGTCGAAGCAATTGTTCTGTGAAAATAAATATTTATAAGACAAAAAAGTGTTTTTTACTCAATTAACGTATTCTTATTTATTTAATGAATTGTTTTTGAGGTGAACGATTATTTTAAGGAAAAAAAAACAAATAATTTAAAGTCATGCATAATTTTTTTTTTATTTATCTAAAGCAATTGACTTGAATGGGAAATTCCGTTATTCGATCATTCGACTGTCAATGATAAACTCTCATCATATTGATGACAACTTGTTATCAACAGAATCTGTCTCAATAGCTAAGAATTATAATGTGTTACTTTTAATTTTCTTCTCGTTTTCCTTAATTAGCTGCTGGAATGCTGGATTAGCGCACATCTTTAAAGCATTTTTCAAGTCAAACCAACCAAATTCAGTATGCTCACTAGAGAGTTTTGGACTTTTTCCTGATTTCAATTCAGCAAACCAAAATACATTGATTTTTCCTGGTCCGGGAGTTTTCTCGAATCGCTTATTTCTATGAATATGCAGATCGCTTTCAGTGTAATTTGTTTCCTCTTGTACTTCTCTCAATGCCGCTTGGAAATCATTCGCATCACTTTGTTCGACTCCACCTTGAAATTCAGAATAATTGCGAACATTTTCGTAAGCGGATTTATAAAAATTGTTGTTTGCAACTTTAGCAACTTTGTGTAAGTATTTCAAATGGTTCTGAATAATATTTATCTAACATGCATTGCTCTCGAGAAGTTTGGACATATCGAGTATTTTTCATGCAAATTGTTAATTGTTCCAGTCAGTTTTTTTTATTTCTACAAAAAATTTATTGCAAAGTTACGCTCCAAAAACTATCAATTTGTATGATAAATTCACGATGGGTCGAAACTCTTTGAGAGCAGTGTATAATATACACTATACACTGTATATCAATATTATCAAATGAAAAAGACTAGAAAATTTCTGCAAAAGTAAATGTTTACCTTTTGGTGGGCCCCAGCTGTTGTCTTTTTTGATTGATTTCAGAAGTAGGTATTCAATTTTATTACCGGTGCGGCGAAAAATAATTAGTCCTGCGCCTTTTTTAGCCATAGAAAAATGGACTAAGGACAGAATCAGAAGTACTGCGAATATCTTTGCTTGCATCTTGTATGAGTGACTGGATACTGGAACCACAATGTGTTCAAATGGGAACGATCTACACAATTTATAGCAATTTTGTTTGGTCTTGTTATTGCAAATTTTTATTGGGTTGTTTTCCAAATTCATGAATTTGCGTCATTACATAGCAAATTTGTGTTATTATTAATGTGCGCATAAATTATTTAAAAAAACATTCGCTTCAATGTTAAATTTTTTATTTTTTTAACTACAATATTAGGTAATTCAAATGTGTGCTTTGTTTTTTAGATCATTAATATTTCAAAATTGGATGAAAAATAACAGGGATGTCTGTTGACACATTAAACGTGTCAAGAGCAGAAACCAAAAAAAAAAATTAAAAATAAAACATTGAAGCAAATTCTCCATCTGTTGCTTTTAACTAATTGCTGCGCATTAACACACATTTGCTTTGCAATGACGCAAATTCAGATCGTGTTTTTTGATTATTGATCAGAATACAATCATCAAATTTCTTTGTTCCCATGTTTGTCCAATTCACTCCCCAAAAAATGATCCAAAAAAAAAAAACGAAAAAACGCTGATGCTGCTCACACGATAAAATTTGATTTTTCGGTTACCCATGTCGAATTTGTTGGAATTCTTGTAAAATAATCCCCTCCTTGTAAAATAATTTGAAGACGTATGTCAATTGTTATAAATTATTATAATTCATAAAATGATGTAAGATTTTTTCTTCAAAAGTACGACCAGAATAATTACTATGAAATGAAAACATAATATATGAATTGTTGTTAACCACTCAATACAATAACTTAACTTATGGCAATTTTATTTAGGTAGTTTATTGCCATAGTGAGCGCATGCCATTTTTAACATTGATTATTCTATTTAGAGAATTACTAACGGCGACATTGCAAACCTAGCTTCAAACATTGAAACGAAATCTATGACAGGCAAAGAAAACATCTGCCGTTGGCAGGTCGTTATTTTTTGATGAAAAGTTTCATGTAAATCATTGAATTTGAACGCTTTATCACACCGGTTTCTGGCATTAGTTTTGATGTTTTTCATCATCTGTCGCAAAGGTCCATGTGCACACATCAGGAAAGTATTCAATGGCTTGTTAATTCGAATTCATTAGCTCAACGATGACCAATTTTCGTGCTTGAAATCGAAACGCTACAAATACCGAAACACATTTGCTAGACGATTAGCACGACTAGCCAATATCTTGCCAGGCAGTTGCTCTTCTTTTTACTTTTCCGCACACACCTAGTGTGT